TCCAGAGCTGCCTCTCTCTTCGCCAACTTCTCTCCCTTCAGACTGATCTCAACTTGCAGCTGCTCAAATTCACTTTTCTTTCTCTCTAGTTCTTCATCAAGGGATATCCTCATCTGTTCAAGCTCCATTTCAAACTCTTGCCTTTTGGATTCTAGAACAGCTTTTTGATCATCAAGGAGCTTCCCAATCTCCATCTGTTAAATTGTGAATACGGTGTCACTTCTCTATAAAATATATATCTTTAGAAACTTAGCAGGTAGAAAACAAAGAAAATATAAACATGGATAAGTAAATTTAAAATTGTAAGTTGTTCCCGTCAGTTGATAATTTCAGTAGCATCCACTCAGCATCCCCAAGAAATTTCACCATAGTTTTAAAGTCTTTCTCTTGGTCACATTACCCAACCTCTGTATACACACTCTGATTTTGTTGATCAGTGGAAGGACATTTCACAATCGACAGTAAATAATAGTTGATTAGTGATCGTAAAGGCGTATGCCTCACCAGAACTAACAGTAATACAATTTCTAAACACAAAAACACCTCCTCCAATTCTATTTCATCCCTTTACTGAAGATTCACTACCTTAAACTGAGAAAATAATAAATACAATGTAACATGACCAAGAAAGAAAAGGCCAAGATATATTTAACAAATAGAAGAAAGTTTCAGGCAAGTTGATGCTGACCTGCTCCCTCAAAATAAGCTTCTGCTCAAGCTCATGGAGCTCTTTCTCCTTCATATCAACCTTAGTCTTCATGGCCTCGAAGTCCTAAAACAGCAAACAATTCATATATAGACCAACAGGTATAGGAAGTGAAAAAATTGCAACTGAAAAACTTACTTTTTTCTTCAGAGATATGTCATTTAGCATAGCGTTTATGGATTCTTCTCTCTCTTTTAATTCCGACTTAGCAATATCAATCTTTTTCTGCATCTCTTCAAGGGTCTTCTCTTTCTTCTTGATATTTTTTTCGCTTTCAATAATTCTTTCCTCTCTTTGGTTAATGCTTCTTTTAGCTTCAGACAACCTGTCTTCTTCTACTGTTAGCTTCTTGTCCCATTCCTGTAGGTCTTCTCTCTGCTTGTAGAACACTGATTCATGTGCTTCTCGTCTAAGAAACATACGCAAAGGAGAATGTGTGAGGTCAAATATCTGTACCAATAAACAAGGAACAGAACCGACGAGTAAAAAATGATCTTTCATACTCTGTAACTAGAGAAAGATGCTCCCTTTGGAGCCCCTTTTCACGGGTCTCCACGTCCTTCAGTTTCCTTTCCAACTCAGAACTCTTTCTATTAAGCACTGAAAGCTTTTCTTCAGCAATGGCCCTCTTTCTATCCACCTCTAACGCATTTTCCTTAATACCCGTAACCAAAGCATTTGCTTCAGCTAACTTTGCCTCAGAAGTAGACCTCACCTCAGTATGTTCTTGTTGCAAATATTTCAAATCCCTCTCAAGCTGAAAAATACAAACAGCAGAAACGTCTAATAAACATCAAAACACATAGAAAGCCAAAACATGCCGCATGAACATCTACTATACAGCCAAAGAGAAGAAACAACAAAAATGAGATACCTCAGCTACAAATTGCCTCTCTGAGATCAAGGCTTTCCTAAGATTCTCCTCTCTTTTCTCAGCTTCACTTAAAGCAATTAAATTTGAAGTCCTTTCACGATTAAGAATCTCTCGAGCTTCATCAAATGCTTGTTGAAGTTTTTCATTTGTCGAAGTCCACTTCTTCTTCTCAATGAGAAGAAGCCCCATATTATGTTGGTAATCAAACAACTGCAACAATGGAACAGTTTCTCAATTCCATCTCCCACTAGATTGAAAAACCCCCAATTATCTAACATACTAACCAAACTCTCACACAGATAGATACAGTAACCGAATCACATGTGCCATATTTGGTAAATCTAAAGGTTTCTAATTTTCAATATACAGCAAAATTACCTCTTTTTCAAGCTTTAGGATCTTCTCTATAAGCGCATCACGGTCTTTCCTTTCTAGGGACGCTTCATCGAGCAACCCAACTTCTTTGAACTTACGCCAATCATCCACCGAAGAACCTCCGAAACCGTTATCCTCCTCTCGGCGAAGACCCATCGGCGGAGAAGGCGTTGTGATTTCGTCGGCGAAAGCTATCGCCTTTCCCTTCCGGTCGGTCGCCGACCACTGTTTTCTCTGCGGAGTGAACATTTCCGTCGAAACCCTAGAGACCCAGATGCATCAAACCCCAATTCGTCACTTCCCCCTTCCACGAAAGTACTGAAATCGAGAAAATTTACACACAAATCGAAGAAGCGAATTAGAGGCGATGTTTAACTGGAGGAAGGTGGGAGTGTTCTTGGATTGTCTCACGCGCCGTCGTGGAAACAGTTAGTAAACAGTTAACTGATGAGAACGCCTCCGGCTCCAATACGACTCTGTAATCGTCACCGTCTCTTAATCGACTTTCGCTTTGCTTCCACTTGCAATTTGCAAAACGACGATATAGCTCGTAATGGGCCATGTTGGGCTTTTTATTTTCTTCTCTATTTATAACTCAACCGGCCCAAGTTAGCTTTCGAGGATTTTAAAATGATTTAGGGGGTATTCAATTCAAGAATTTAATTGATTTTGAAAAAATTGAACATTCTATCAAATTCTATTTTTATTCAATTATCTATTTTATGAATTCTATTAAATTCCTGTGTTATTCAATTTATTAGAATCTTAATTCTATCAGATATTAGTGTTATTCAAATATTCTGCAGTATTTTTAGTATAGTCATTTAAAAAAAAATTAAGGGAATTTCAATAAAAATTGTGAAAAACCAATTCCCACCTTTTTTGTTGGGATTTCGATAAATTCCATAAAATCATTTAAAATCAATTATTTTCTAATTCTTCTAAATTCTCTCGATTAAAGAGTGTGTACATGCATTATATACACACACACTTAATCATAAGTGATTCTTATTTTGGACTGTTTGTTGATGAAGTGTCCTTTTATGGACTGTAAAAATTAGGTTATTTTATTCATTGTCTTTAAGAAAAACATCATATGAGCATATATAACCTTTCATTGTGAATTTTGATTCAATTAATTTAGTTATTATGTTTAACTTACTTTTAGAAAATTATATTTTTTTACATAATATTATTTATATTTTAGCTCCTTTTTTGGTACTTATAAGAATTAATATAGTTGTATTTGACACAAAAAAAAAAGGTAATGTAGTTGAAAACATGCAATGCTCTCTATTAACTAAATATTATGTTAGAGTATCTCCAACCCTACACTATATTTTACACCAAATCACCTTTTAAACTATATTTGGTGTAAAATTTTCTCCAACCTAACACTATTTTTTACACCATTTTTGATGTAAAAAATGAGTTTACACTATTTTTAGTGTTGAAATTTTTTATTTACAAAATGATCCTTCAAATATCAAATTGTTTTGAATTGATCATTATAAAGATAAAAACAACCTTTAGATAATTTTTTACATATATAAATTTTATGTACAAAGAAATAAATTATATACACTTTTAAAGTTCTGAAATTTAAATATTTTAAATTGCGAAAGGACATAAATTTTATATAAATCATGATATTT